AAATTAATTTTTTTTTTTTTTTTTTTTTTTTTTTTTTTTTTTTTTTTTTTTGGGTGTTTTTTTTTTTAAACCAAAAAAAAAAAAAAAAAAAAAAAAAACCAACCCTCGAATCTTGAAATCATATGCCATTATCAATGGAGATTTCCGTCTTCTAATGTCTGAGATTCTGAGCCTCAAAAACTCACATACAAATGTTGTCAAAATTTCATTAGATGATAGGCCAGAAAACGGATATTACACGCAGAGAAAGAAGAACTGAAATAGGGAAATTTATGGCCATGGATGTGAGAGAGAGAGAGAGCTCACCGGTAATTCGACCAAAATTACAGAAGGCGGCGACTGAGACTTTTTTTTTTTTTTTTTTTTTTCAGAGTTTGGACGCCGAGCGACGAAACCGAGTTCCAGAACTTTCCAGTTTGCCGAAAGACTCCTACTTGAAGTTGGATTTCTTTTTTTATTATTTTGCTTAATTTCAACTTTGGCCCCAAGAACAGGTTATCTCACTTTGCCCCTGCAAATCAAAATCCACCCCCCAGCTTACGGTAACTTTGATAAATCTGTCAATAAATATAAATTTTTTTAACAATTTTAATCATGTGTAAATCAAATGTGCAATATAGGAGGGCGATTACGATACAAAATTGCAAGTAAGGAAAAGGCAACAATTAAAGTTAAAACGATAAAAAGAAAATCACTTTTTTTAATTTTTTTTTTTAAATAAAATCTATTTTGGTTAAGTTCACTATAATGCTTGACATCTTTAATAAAACTTTAAAAATTCTTATTTTGCTCCGTAAATTTTAAATTAGTCTCACTTAGTTCTTTCTATTAAAATTTTCATCTTAAACAAACGGAAAATAAGGGATAAAGTGAGGTCTTGTGGTCTTTTTACTATGTGTTTTCAACATAAGCACTTACATAAAGGGTTTAGGATTTGTTTGGCACAGATACTTAAACTCATGATTCTAATTCTGTTACAGTATTTTTCATCTTACAAAAAATTTGAAAAAAAATTTATTATCTCACAAAATTCTCACTAATAAATCAAAATTACTAACTTAAATGCGTGAACTAAAATTTTTTTCTTTATCAAATTTTAACGAATATTCTAATAGAAAGAGTCAAGTGAACTAAATTTAAAATTTAGAGGCAAAATAAAGTGATAATGTCCATGAATGACCTAAAGTTTAAAGGCCACACGTGAAACTGATCTTAAAAAGAACAAAAGAAAAAGGTTAGTTTTGATTTTGACCTTAAAGGATAAAGTTATTTATTTTGCCCCTTACAACTCTAAATAGTGCAAAATTCAGCCACGAGATTATAATAAGTTGCAAGGATCAATCTCACCATTACATCATAAATAATCCTGGTAGATATACATAAAACAAATAACTTTAAAATAACTCTAAATACAGTGTTTAAATTGCTAGTATCTATATATTTATATGTCACAGAAGGCTTCATTCGGTTGGATGGAGAGTAAGAAGGATATGGATAATTGAAGGGACATAAAAGATTATATTGATCATTTATGATATTTGGTAGGATAGAGGGTGAACTAAAAAAATGGATAATAGTTATTTATTTGATACTATATTGTCTATTTGTATTATTTGTGAACAATTTGTTTAGAAGGTAAATTAGTCTTTTGAAGTTTAAACTTTATAAATTACTTGAATCTTTTTACTTAATGAGACAGCTTCCCTCCATTTCTCTCTTTCTAACTAAACAATAGATTCAACTTAAAATTGGTAATGATTATGCCGATGATGATCAATTTATTTCGTAGGTTTGAACCACAATTAAAATCGTTTTGTTACAATGTTTTTTTTATAATAAATTTAAATTTTCATTTAAACCCAACAATGATGGAGATAAGAAAAGAACATATAGAAATTGGAAATGTTACCAAATGCTTTCTTTTTTAGGCAAAAATTATTTGTGTTCAAACATTCCTGCGCCTAAGGTGTTGGGGACCTTAGCATCCTTTTTTTGTGCCAGCACAACATAAGGTACCTAACACTCTAGTTTTCAATTATTGTACGACCACAAGTCCACATAAATAATCAATATCTATCTGTAACAACAGTGCCACTAATTATTTTATTCCCATCCGTAAATGATTGCAAACAGCCAAATTCCCATACGGCAGAGATGCACAAAACAAAGCTAAAACCTATTATCATGTCACATGCGCTTACAGTCCTACTACACCCTCTGCTATTTTGCTTTCGAGGACCTTCATTTTTCTTAGCAGACAAGAACCGTCCCATTAATTTTTTAATAGCCTGATTCGAAACAAGAACAATTTGATATAGTACATTATAAGTTTTTAATGTGAACATGTACATATATAATCATATATAATCGTTAAAAAATTAATCTAATGATTAAAAACAATAATTTCTACCCATGGACCAAAAATGCATGTCCTGCTGTAGAAATTCTCATAAAACAGATCAAATAGAAATTCTAACAAATTGTAAGCAATAACATTAAAAATACATATAATAAACAGCGTTTATTCGCTCATAGGAGCAGCCAGTCTAGAGTATTTTACAAAGGACACCCCACTAAAGCATGTGGGAACAAGCAAAGCCAATTTGCAGAAAAAAAAAAAAAAAAAAAAAAAAAAAAAAAAAAAAAAAAAACTAATGATATATAGCATGGCAAACTGGAAAATGGAAACCCAATTCCAGTTTGCTTATTTAAGTAATGGGCAGGATCAAGTATAATACAGAGACAAACCCATATGACTAAGAGCAATACTAGATTAAGACCAGTAATAATCCACTCATCCGAGTACGGATTTCACTACTAAACAAGGCATTCTTGTGTCCCGGCCACCATAGTAGGGCGAGAGGTGGTCTTGGTGGCATCCACTTCTTCAACAGCTTGAGGTTTGGCTTCCAGCTCCGCAGTCGCATTTTCACTCACATCAACACCAGAAGCAATGGCTTCAAATATTAGGGCATTCACTTCCTGGAACCTCTCCTCAGACAGAGAGACCACTGCAAGTAGCCTCCAAGCATTTTCCTCGGAGGCCTCTTCATAGTCCTTCTTCCTCTTCAACACCATGTGCCCGCTAATTTCCCAGACGGCAGGATTCACTTGAGTGTCCAGAAGCTCAGCACTCACTTCCCCAAGAGCTTGTTTCTCAGCATAACACTGATCATAAAGACCATGAATACGGCGATAAATACCAAAATCGATAATAAATATACACTAGACTTTAAGTTACACGAAATGTTTTTTTAAGTTTTTTAACTGATTACCTGCGGAAGGAGGAAGATACGCTTTCCGCAATCAGAGATGAGGACATTGTAAGGTATGTTGTTGTCTTGAAGACAGATGCAGGCGTCAGAGACAGCGTTAGACAAGTATTCCACAGTATTTCCCCCTTCGAAGACGAGACCTCTGACGGGATAGTTCAACAGCTCAGAGATTTTCACATCACCAACCAGAGTGGTTATTTTCTTGGTAGTAGCCTTCTCGATTGGAAAGGGTACGGCCAAGTAGTAAGCCTGTCGAGGAAATGGAAACAGCACGTTAATTGCTGACAGTCAGGTTTAACCGATAGTTCATGTATAATTTCAAGGTGCTATGAGACAGTGAGGTAGTTTGAAACCTGGAAGTGAAGGTGATTGATAGTAGCAAAGGCACCTAAGCTGTTGTAACCGAGTCGGAAGTATGGATTGCCAGCTTCTGCTGCCATGTGAAGCGCAAGCAAGAAGCTTCCGCGGTCAATCCTCTGTGGCAAGCAATCCAGAATGCGAGGGATCAACAGCACATGTCCATATTCGATAGGACTGACCTGTTAAATGGAGGATAAGACAAAAACGTATCAAAAATATGCTCTTCGGACTTCTTACAAACAAAATAACAGACCAAGCGAGAAAGAACATACATTGATTGCAACGACACTTGGAGAATTCTCAACATCAATGGGTGCACTTGGGAAGAACTGGACTTCACCGTCTTCGCTCGCTTCAAACTGGAAGAGGACCTCTTCTTGCCCAACTTTCGTGAAGTTGAACTTGCTCTCATCAAAGGGTTGTAGTACCTTGTCAACACGGAACTCAGTTGGCCTCTTCTTCAGATGGCGGCCCTCATTCAGCTGGGCAATGAAACCATACTGACCCGGAATAACCTAAACAAAATTCATCAAGTAAGTACTCGACTTTTCGCCCATGGGTTTCGATCTACACACAATAAAACAATGCGGAAAAGAAAGGAAACGTTAAAATACCTTGGTTTCGCAGGCAGTGACATCATATCGGAACAGCCCTCTCTGCACGCGATCCTCCCACTACATAAACCAAAAGCATACAGAACTTAAACCAAGAACAAAGGATAACAACCCGAAGGAGAAAAAGAGCTGATTGATCAATTCAAATCTTCATCTGCTTTAACCAACTATCTAACCTCTCCAAGAACCAGGGAGTCGAGAAAAGCCACCGGAGGCTCTCCGTTCTCACCATGAGCGGGCAAACCCTTGTCAGAAACAAGCTTTTCCAGCCTCTTGAAAGCATACAAAGGAAGTTTTGCCCCTAATTTCAATCAACAAAACGTACTAAGCTTTAATTCCTCAAACCACATAACATATCAACAACAAAAACAATAATTCTAAGGATAATTCCAACTGTATTAACAGGCATAGGTTTTAACCGTCAGATTTTCATAAAGTTATGTCATATTGTACTATGCCACAAAATTGCTCTAATACACAATCTGGGTTTTTTTTCCTCTTGAAACAAAAACAATTGAAAAAAAAAAAAAAAAAAAAAAACCTGGAAGGCAACAGTTTCGGAGGCAATTGCGACCACAGCCAGCAACTCTGGCCTCATCGGCCTCTTCTTTCTGGTAATTCGAAACGACAGTGGGAACCCTCTTGATTCTGAGCATCATCTTCGCTTCAAATCTTATATATGTGTAATCAAATAAATATATATACACAACAGCAGATTGATCGATCGATTGGTTGATTGATTGAATACGGAGAAGAGGAAGAAGGAAAGATCTAGAAACTTGCTCTTAGAAGAAGAATTATAAGAAAAGGCTTATAACAACAGAGAAGAAAAGGAAGGAAAAAACCTAGAAAAGCTAAAAGAGAAGGAAAGTGGAAGAAGAACCGCCGCCGGCGAGGAAGAGGAGGTCGGAAGGGCTGCCGCCTTCGGAAGGCAAAGCGCCACGCCCGCCGTGCGGCGAAGGGTTGCTGCTCAAAACGACAGAACCCCTGCGTCGTACAGTGCGGACATGAATTATAGGGCGAGAAGCTCCGTGTATAGCCGTGATTTCTACAACTTGTCTGTTCCCGGGTATTACCCCCCGCACACACACCAAACCTCTCTCTTGTTTCTCTCTCTACTTTCTCTCTCTAAAAACGCGATTTGAGGCCGGAATCGGAGAGACCCAGATGCGAAAGGGAAGAGAATAAGCGAAAACTCAAAGTGGGCAACTGGGAGGAAAAGATTCAAAAAGGATTGATTTGTGTTTTGTGTTGTTCGCGGTTCTTGTGGTTGGAGAAAGTGGAGGAGAAGAAGGATGGGGTTATATAGATAAGAGGAAAGAAGGTGAAATGCGGTTGTGGCTGAAGATTGGCCGTGGGAGGTTTCGTGGTGTTGGTTTGAAGGAGAAAAATTATTGAAAGCAACGACAGAGGAGAGAGAAACAATATAAAAAGACTATGGTTGATCAACGTAAAGGCCAAAGCTTTTTAGGTATGGGACGTTGTTGTACTCCCAATAGGAATTGGGTCGTGCCGGAGAAAGGCGCCAAAGGGGACCACTTTGGTCGTACGGCGTTGGAGAGATGGTACCCACCCAAATATTTTATATTCTTTTTTTTTTATAATGCAAATATTTTATATATTTTATTCCCTTCACTGCTCCTTCCACGATGCTTTAATTTTATATTATTATTCATATATTATCACAGGTAAAGTCTTGAATTGAGTATTAAATTAGAACGGTATATGTATATTTTTTCTTAAAATATATATTTTGAATATGGGTAATCCTTGGATATCATTGGGAATCCGGAGGTAATCTGGGTGTACAATTGTATTGATCATATGACACGTGTTAAGATCATATAAGAGAGGAGGTCACGTAGCAGTCAGTTAGTTGATTGGGCATTTATTCTGTTTCGTCAGTCGATGCCGATAGTACTTGAATTTAGGGCCGGCAATTTCAGACACGACACGATGAAACGACACGAAAACGACATTAGATAAATAGGTTTAGACCGCACGATTATTAATTGGGTCGTCAACGGGCTGGCACGAATAACACGAAAATAAATGGGTTGGATTCGTGCCATCCCGTTTAACACGCTTAACCCGTTTAGTTATACGGGCCATAATCGGGCCGACACGACACGACCCGTTTATTAATCCATATATATATATATATATTTATATTTTTTTTTAAGATAAAACCCTAGCTTCTCTAATTCTCTTTCTCTCATTCTCTCATTCTCTCACAGCTCGTTTTATTTATATTCTCTCATTTGCATGAAGGGTGTTTGATAAAAGGGTTAACTTAATTTAACACTCTAACTTTTAAATAAGTTATGGCATGTTGATAAAATTACAAAATGCCAATGGATTTGTAGATGGATGATTTGTAGATGGACTTGTAGATGGTTGATTACAAAATGCCAATGGATGATTTGTAATGGATAAACCTAAACTTTAAATATGTTTTATGCTTTATGCACTTAAATATGCCAATGGACTTGTAGATGGTTGATTATGTTTTATGCACTTAAATTTTCAAATATTTGGTTATATTTTCAAACTTATTTAAATGTACTTGGTTATGTTTTCAAACTTCTTTAGATGTTTAGTAATTGGTATGTTTTGAAACATATGTCATAAGTGATGTTTTAGATATTTTAATGTGTGTTGGCTATTATGCATGATTTTAACTATAAGTGATATTAAGTAGTCAATTAATATAGTTTTGAATACAATATAAAATTCACTATTTTTGCTAGTTGGGTCATAAACGTGTTTTTTTCGTGTCGGCCCGTCACGGCACGTTTAATAATCGTGTTCGTGTGTCATGTCGTGTTAACCGTGTTATTAGCGTGTCGTGTTCGTGTTTGGGTTTCTGACACGTTTATTAATCATGTCGTGTTCGTGCTCACTATAATCGTGTCGTGCCGTAATCGTGTCGGCCCGAACACGGCCCGCGAACACAAATTGCCAGCCCTACTTGAATTAGATGCTCAGCCTATTTGATTCACACATTTTAAGTCAGTGATTTTGATTCTGAATTCAAATTTTGTTACAGAATCCATTAGCGGAAACTTTTTTTATTCAGATTTTTTATGAGAAAAAAGTACTATAGCATAATCAAAATTATGATTTCAAATGGAACCTTAATTATATTATTATTTTTTTTATTATATATATTTTCTTAGGCAACCTTTATTGATAATATATATATTTTTTTAAAAAAAAAATAAGATTTAAGATAAGGCATGTTTACTTTGTTCCTCTTCCCTTGCAAGTTGATTTTGTAAGCCTAATAGGTTTGTTATACTTGGTATCGAATATGTCCACCACATCGCGAGTTCAAATCAAAACAATTACATTGTAGGTTGGATTAAGATGTGTTGGCTAAGCCATCAAGGTGTCCAATATTAGTAGTCTAATGAATATGCCAAAGAGGAAATGACTACAATTTTAGTGTTGATAAGGTGGACCGTTATAGATTTGAGTCCGTACGTGGTGTATTGTTATAAATCACCATGTCGAGCAAGCTTTAGGGGACGTTTGTTTCTTATATTCGTTTCTTATTCTGAATCATGATTCATAATTTTCTACAGTATTTTTTCTATAAAAAAAAATACACGTAAAACGAGAATGATTCTGAATCATGATTTTGAATACATAAACCAAACGTCCTCTTAGTTCTTTTTTCAATCGATAGAAACTATTTGTTTTAGCCGTTGGATAACAATTTTAGTGGTTTTGAATAATAATGAAAAATAACTATGTGCTGCAAACTATAATTATAAATGTTTAACATGAACAGTTACATATCATACCATTAAAAAATTAATCAGACAACTAAAATAATAATTCCTAATTCTTACTGATGACGATGATAATGATAATAATAATAATAAATAATAATTATTATTATTATTATTATAAACAAAACACTTTCTCTATAGGTAAATAAAGCAAAATAATAACTCGTTAAATTCATGCGAAAGAGATTCTTGGTTCCATTTGTCCAATCTTTGTGGGGGTGAGGATGTGTGTTTTTGCGAGACACGAGTTCAACTCCACTGACTCTTTTAGTGAAAAAAAAATTAAAAAAAAAATAATGAAATAAAATAAAAAGAAAAAAAAAACCCAACCACTGACTCGACACGTAAAGGAATTAGCACGTGTGTAAATATTTTCATGTTTGAAATTATTTATAGCGGCGTAAAGATATTATTACCATAAATGACGACACAGTAGTTTTGACTAATTACGTGTGAATGATGATTTTATAATATGATTTGTTTTTTGTAGAAAACTTATACTAATAATTGTATCACACGTCATTGCTTTCTTCTTCGGTTTTTTTTATTCACTTTTTTTTTTAATTTCTCCTAACCAATATTGATCAGTGTTTAAAGTTAAAGAGAAGGTAAACTTCACCAGTTTGTGAGCCGTTTTATTACAATTACGAGTAATAAAACTGCATGAACCATCACTAACATCATAAAGATGTTAGGAAATTATATTTCATAATAATAATTATGAGTCACATATTTATAATAATTATATTAATATTATTTAATTAATTGAGTTAATTAAGTGGTTAATTATGTATAACTCAAATAGTCTCTACTTACTATTGACCCAATTAAGTTTAATAAGAGCCTAATGGGACAATATATAAAGATACTTAAATTATGATCTCCAATACGTCAAATCATTCGGCCGTTTTTCCTCTTCCTCATCTAAAGAGAGATCACTCATTTAAGAATCTGGTGATTTGACTGAGGAAGACAATAACTCGACGTGCTCGTTGTCTTAAAGATTTTTACTGGAGATTAAGACTGCACTAATGGAGATAAGTATTTGTTTTAACTTATTTTTTTAATAATTTAGTGTGATGATTCTTAAAATATGGAATAAGGATTTAAAGATTCAACAAAAGAAGCATCCTAATAAAAGAAAAAAAAAATGTTGTTGAGAACCGGAAATTCATCTTTGTTCCGGAAATGCTTGGCCTTGATACCATTTTACTGTTATGAATATATGCTTGGGTCAATTATTTGGTAAAATCTCTTAATACGTTGCAATATTTGTGGAATGGAATCTTCCGATTCACCATGATAAAAAGATATTATATATATAGTACAAATCGACCATATTTAGTGTATGAATAGCAAATACAGAAAAAAAAAAAATATATATATATATATATATATAAATAGTTATGATTTTTCAGTTTTCACCACCAATAATGGCAATTCCAATATATGTCACTTATTACGTAAGCATGCCAAATACGAGGATATAACCATAAATATTGATATATCCGTTAGAATTGTCGCCATTGGTCGATCGTGTTGTAGTTTTCACATTAAGGGCCCATATTAATCCGAAATTTTCTTTCATTCATTTATTTATTTTGAGGCAATACGACATTTTCTGCCACCAATAATGGCAATTCCAATATATGTCACTTATTACGTAAGCATGCCAAATACGAGGATATAACCATAAATATTGATATATCCGTTAGAATTGTCGCCATTGGTCGATCGTGTTGTAGTTTTCACATTAAGGGCCCATATTAATCCGAAATTTTCTTTCATTCATTTATTTATTTTGAGGCAATACGACATTTTCTGCGGTACAGAAAGAAGAGTCCAAATCAGGAAATTTCCCAAGGCCAAAAAAGAGCCAGGCGAAGATTTCTTGAAAGGAAAACGACATAAAACATCTCTTTAGGGGCTAGGCTTCAGCCAAATCCCCACCATCGCAACCACACGCATAGGCGCCGAGGCCCGAACCTTCGCAATAGAAAAAACACTTTTCTTCATAGTGATGTGTGAACTAGAGGAAAATTGCACAATATGTGGGACCCACAAACCCCGTCACATCTTGTAAATAAACTTATCTCCCCGTGAGTAACACGTTGGTGCTTTATTATTAAAAAAAAAAAAAAAACAAAGAAAAACACGTTGATAGGCATGTTTAAAACGCTTCCGTTCACTTCATTTAAAATTTGAGTTTTTTTACAGTAAAAAGCTCTCATAAACAATCACATCTAACTTTTTTATTACAGTAAAAAGCTCTCACATAAAATCACATCTCAACTCGAATTAGCGAAGCGAACGAGGCCAAGTGGAATAAGTTTTCATGTCGTGTTTTGGATTATAGTTCGTGACTCGTTATAATATTTTTTCTCACAAAAAATACACGTAAATTGAGAATAATTCTGAATCATGGTTCCGAACTCATGAACCAAACGTCCACTGAAATTCTGACGTTTGAAATTTAGAGCGCGTTTGGAACTCGTTTGAAAATAATTTTATTTTTTGTATGAAAATAAAAATGAAAACGTGTTCAATCTTAGACAGAAATTATTTTTAAAAATACGTTTGGTAGTTTTATCAAAAAATTATTTTCAGTGTAAAAAAACTCATT